CCCCCCCCCCCCCCCCCCCACCCCCCTCGGCGCGTGGCTGAGTAGAGCCTCTTAGGCAAGTGGCTGCGGAGGTGGGGAAGCGCTGCTGCTGCTGCAAACCCGTGTCTCCCGCCTGTGCTGAGATTATGTACGCAACATTGCCAGAGACGGAGTTCGGACCGATCTTCACATGATGCTCGAAATTTGACCGATCTTCACATGCCGCTATTCCGATTCTATTCGAGTCATATCTGGGCCTTCTAGATGGGGTCGAAGTAGATGGGAACGGAGGATCGCGCTATAACACGGATTCATCGCCGATGCGGCTCGATGTGGAGCCCAATCTGTCCACGCCGAGGGCGCCGATGTATCGCCGACGCATTCTCGAAGTGATGCAATCCTCCGACCCCATCTAATCGGACCCCATCTGGGAGGCCTCTTTCATCGGCATCGGCCTGGAGCCATTCCATCGATTAGCATTCCAGCGAACAATCAATGACGCCATAAACATAAATTTTTGGCGCTCCGCTCGGATTTCTTGGATCCGCGCTGGGCGCCGAAAGTTTATGTTTATGGCCGTTTTCTTCATCGAGCACATGTGTTGGGTTCGGGGCAGCATCACGGGGTAACCAGCTCGCCTCATTCGGGGCCCTGGCTGCAGACGGCGGCGAGCGAGGGGGGGAAATAAGAAGGAGGAGGCCTTCCCAGAAGGCGGGACTTCTCAGGAGCCCTCGCGCCTTCCGAGCAGTTTTTGTTTGTCTTCGGGGAAGGCTCAGCAAACTTCTCGGAAGGCTGGGGGACTGTCGAGCCTTCTGAGAAGGCCTTCTCCTTCTCACTTCCCCCCCTCGCTCGCCTTCGACTTTCACTAAGAGAGAGTTGGCGGCCAAATCCTCTCACTAAGAGGGGGTTGTCGGCTCCTACGCCCGAAGGAGCATACGTGGCCATCCATCGTGACGTCAGTGCCCGCCTCCAGACGAGCCGCTCGCGACAGACTCAAGTGTGGTAGCAGATTCAGGCCCTCCTTTTCGGAGGCTCACCAGTTGCGGATTGAAGTCTCTTGTTCGTGCGCTCGTGGACGGTTCTTGGGCATATTTTGGGCCTTCTTGGGCCTCCATTGGGGCTCTCTTGGGCCATCTTGAGGCCATCCTGAAGCCTCCTGGGTCTATCGGATGCGCAAATGCGAGGATGCAGACAGCATTGATTGCGTTAAGATGTTGGGCCATTTTGGTTTCTTGGGGAGGAGGTCTTTGGATCTGCACGCACGAAATGGGTACTGAATGAATGGGTACAATGTCCAACAGCGGATCTTGTTCTTTTTGAACAGGGCTCGCTGTCCACGCCGCCGTGGCCTGTGCCCATTCGAGACAGGAGGCCGCCTGCCCAACAGCGGCCGATGTTGGTTTGGGACAACATTTGCTGTTGGACATTGTGCCCATTTTTTCGGTACCCATTTCGGGCGTTCAAATTGGAGGAGTCGAAGGGCACTTCCGTCTTCGGGCTGTCTGGAGGCCTCTCCTGAAGGCACGTCGGGGGCAATCTTGAAGCGCTTTGGGCCATCGTGGAGGCCACGTTCGGCTTTCGGATACCCTTGCAGGGGTCATTTCGATTCCACCGGTTCGATTCGAGTCGATGTCGGTGGCTTCCGATTCCGGTTCCATTCGACTTCGGATTCCGAGTTGATTCCGATCCCTCATTGGAGGCCTGCAAGCCTGCCGATTTCCGCCGATTCGACTTCTCCCGACTCGGCTGCCGATTTCCGCCGATCCGATTCATTTCGATCGCCGATCCGGCATATCGATTCGATTCTGGGTTCTCCTGCCCTTGTGGACCCGTCTTGGACCGAAATGCACCCTCTGACACCTGGCGGGGCGCCCCGTCCAAACCCAGGGAAAGGGGTAGGTGAAGGGGTATCCCCCCCGCGGGCAGGACACTGAGGGGCTGCAAAGGGAGAGAAGGCAGGAGTTCGTCAAACTACCTATGTCCAGCGAGCTGGTGGGACTTGGGAGCGGGTCCTCTCTCTCTCTCTCTCTCCTTGTCTCCGCCTCCTCCTCCTCCTCCTCCTCCTTCTCCTCCTCCTCCTCCTCCTCCTCCAGGGTCCCCCGATCGCCACACGCGGTGCGATAGCAGCGGCTTGCGCGCTCGGGTTCGACGCCCCTTGCTTTGTGCCCCCTGAAGCTCCTCCTCCTCGTCCTCCTCCTCTTCCTCCTCCGGGCGCCAAAGGTCACTCTTGCATAGAGTCGCTCTTGCCCAGGGCCGCTCATGCCCAGGGTGGGGTCCAGCGCCTACCCAAGAGAAGCCCCTGCGGGCCTCCGAAGGTTGAAGTTCACACAGCTCCGTATTCTCAGTACTGTCGTGATTCTTCTTTCAGGAGGAAAGAACACACCGACACGAATAGTCGTCCATTCCCGGGACCGTTTGGGATAATCTGGGCGGCGGAGGCGAAGAGGGACCTCCAGAAGCTATCGACGGACATGGGGACTCCGGGGATACGTGTCCATCCATCTGTGTGTCCCTGGCCCCCTTCATTCTTCTTCTTCTTCTCCTCCTCCTTCTTCTTCTTCTTCTTTTTTTTCTTCTTCTTCTTCTTCTCCCTCTTCTTCTCCTCCTGTGGGCGCCTCAGCGAAGGGAGGGGGTCGAGGGCTCCAGGGGGCCCACGCGCCGAGCAGACCGGGGACGTTCTCGGCGCGGCGCGCGCGCTGGCCCTGGACGCCTGGGCGGACCGCGGGCCGCGAGCGTCTGCGGCGGAGAGCGCCTGCTGCCGCGACCTGCCAGTTCGGCACGATCGGGACTCGGAGGAGGGGGCCGAGGGACCAGCGGAAGTTGGATGGGGGGAAGGAGGGGGAGGACGAGGAGGAGGAGGACGAAGAGGACAAAGAGGAGGAGGAGGAGGAGGAGGAGGAGGAGGAGGAGGAGGACCCCCTCCCCCTCCAACTCACGGTGGTGTTGGTGGAAAACAGGCCCATCAGATGGGGGCACGGACCTTGTCGGGCGGGGCTGAGACGAGGATGAATCTCAGAAGACGGAGGGGCACCCATACCTCTACCCGTCGCCCGTTTTTCCCTTGTCGGGCCTCCTGAGGAGCCCTCGTCGCCGCCGCTGGATTCGCCTCGAAATCCTCGTCAGAACGCACCCCAGGAGAGGTCCGGGGAGTAGCGGTATGGGTACCTCTTGATTTCCCCAGAGACGGGTCGGTTGTACCGGCGGCGAGCGCGGGGGGAAGTGAGAAGGAGAAGGCCTTCTCAGAAGGCTCGGAAGTCCCCCGGCCCTCCGAGAAGTTTGCTAAGTCCTCCGCGAAAACAAACAAAAGCTTCTCGGAAGGCGCGAGGGCTTTTGAGAAGTCCCGCCGCCTTTGAGAAGGCCTCCTCCTCACTTCATCCCGTCGCTCGCCGCCGTGTGTAGCCACGGCCCTGGATAAGGCGAGCTGGTTACCCCGTTATGCTGGCCCGGACAACATAAACTTTCGGCTGTCAGCGCGGATGTCTTGTATCCGCGCTAGGCACGTATTTACAATCTAGATGCATAGAATCTACAATCTAGATGCATCCTTTCTGTGGGTTCATTGCTTCGTCCTCCATCCTCTTCCTTCTTTCCAGTTCTTCCTGTCCTCTCGCGATAGCGGTCGTCGTTGGGGGAGGGAGGGGATGCGGCCGTGAAAGTCGCGGTTCGCGCCGGCGTTGCCTGGGAGTTTGCTACCCCTAGTCGTTCCCAGACAGCTGGCGCGAATCGGAGTGGTGTGCCCCTGGTAACTTTCAGATTCGCGAAGGGTAATAAATGCCGTCCTGCTCCTCCGTCCTCCGCCCTCTTCCTCCCGCACCTCCCCTTCCTTCTCCGCTGCGTCCTCCGTCCTCCGCCTTTCCCGTCCCCCTCTTCTCCCAAAATTCCGACGCCGTGTTTTTCCACAACGTGGATATCTGGGAAAGAGCGTGTTTTGCCGCTGCTGGCAGAAATCAGGGGGGGGGGGTCATGGGGGTTCCCAACCCGTCCCCCCCCTAGAAAACCCCGGAGGGGCACTACCGGTTCGTCCTCCCTCGCGGTCCGTCATGAAAACAGGGGGGGGGATCCCGGATCCCTACCAGTTCGACCCACCTTTCCTCGCCGCCGGCAGGCGACTCCCGCTCCTCGGGACAGTGGGACAGTGGTGGGGGCAGTGGGACAGTGGTGGGGGCGGTGGTGGTGGGGATAGTGGTGTGGGGACAGTGGGGACAGTGGTGGGGACAGTGGGGACAGTGGGACGGTGGTGGGGAAGGTGAAGGTGGGAACAGTGGTGAGGGGACAGTGGGACAGTGGTGGGGACAGTGGGGACAGTGGGCCAGTGGCGGGGACGGTAGTGGTGGGGACAGTGGTGAGGGCGGTGATCAGGATGGTAGTGGGACAATGGGAAAATGGTACAGCGGGGAGACAGTGGGACAGTGGTGGGGACAGTGGGACAGCACAGTTGGACAGCGGTGGGGACAGTGGGGGCAGTGGAACAGTGGTGGGGACAGTGGGGACATTGGGACAGTGGTGGGGGCTGGGGTCAATTGGGAGAGTGTGACCGTGGTGGGGACAGTGGTGGGGACAGTGGTGGGGACATTGGGAACAGTGGGACACTGGTGGGGGCACTCGTGGGGAGAGTGGGGACAATTTGTGGGATGAGTGGGGACAGTGGGACAGTGGTGGGGACGGTGGGCATGGTGGGACAGTGACAGTGGTGGGGAAGGGTGTGGTGGGGACAGTGGTGTGGGGACATTGGGACAGTGGTGGGGGCAGTGGGGACAGTGGGGGGGCAGTGGGGACTGGGACAGTGGTGGGGACGGTGGTGGTGGGGACAGTAGTAAGGGCGGTGTTGAGGACGGTGGTGGGAACATGGGACAGTGGCACGGTGGGGACAGTGGTGGGGACAGTGGTGACAGTTGGACAGTGGCGGGAACAGTGGGACAGCTCAATGGGACAGCGGTGGGGACAGTGGGGACATTGGGACAGTGGTGGGGACAGTGGGACAGTGGAAGGGACACTGGGGAGAGTTGGACCGTGGTGGGGACATTGGTGGGGACATCGGGGACAGTGCGACAGTAGTGTGTGCACTGGTGGGGGCAGTGGTGGAAACAATGGGGACAGTGGGACAGTGGTGGGGACCGTGGTGGTGGTGACAGTGGTGAGGGCGGTGGTGAAGATGGTGGTGGGGACCCTTGAGTTGTTTGCCGGCGGTGAGTGTGGAGGGGGGGTTCGAATTGGTAGTGACCCCCCCTGGTTTTCTTGAGGGGGGGGGAGGGGTCGAACGGGTAGTGACCCCCCCTCGGTTTTCTGGAGGGGTGGGGTGGTGGTGAGGGGGGGGGTTGGGGTAGGGGGGGGCAGGAGAAGGGAGGGGGGGGGTCGACCGGGGGGGGGATTTTTGGAGGTGGGGGGGACCGTCGAGTTCTGGAGGAAGAGGGGGGGGAATTTTCCACGGTAAAGCGGCGGTGGATGACGCTCTGTCACGTCTGTAGATCTGGATGTGTTCCCTTTTGGCAAGTTGTTCGTCTCGAGCAGTTTCTCTGCGGTCCTGGGGCCAGGTGGGGGCCCCTGGAGGCCGAACGTTAGCACAGTCCAGCCGTCGCGATTATTGTCGCCAGAACGAGGAGGCTGAGGCCCGTTACCCCCCGCCCTCGTCTTGCCCTCCTCCGTCCTCCCCTTCCCGTCCGCTCCCTCCCCGCCCCTCCTTCTCTCTCCGCCCTCCCCTCCTCTGCCCCTCCCTCCGTCCTCCCCTCTTGCTCCCCTCCCCTCCCTCATCCTCCCCTCCGTCCCTCTCCCCTTCGTCTTCCTCCCCGTCCCTCTCCGCCCCCTCCCCTCCCGCCCTCCTCTTGCGCGCGGCTCCCAGCCAGACGCCCCCCCCCCCGCCGCCGCCGTCGGCAGCGCGCGCCGGCCCCATCCCAGACATCTGGCGTCATGGGTTGGTTCGCAACGGTACATTGAATGATTGCACGCACATGTGGTCGTCTGGGGGTCATTCCTCCTCCCACCCCCCCCTTCCCCCTTTTCCTCATCGTCCTCATCTCATAAATCGAGGCGCCAACCGTGGGGCCATCTGTTTCCGACGTTTTGCGACGCGCACGGTAAGTCGCACATCTCTGAGGTTTCTCGGAACTCGGTTTTGTTTGTTTGTTTGATCAGTTCAACTTTCGGCCCAACACCGTTTCGTCGCCGCCGCCTCCTCGTCCCCCTGATCCCTGTCTCCCTCCTCCCTCCTCCCCTCAGGGGCAACGTTGTGGGGGGGGCTAAGCTCAGGGAGGGATACATCGATCCCCGATTGCCCAGGCATCGCCCACAGGGGCCAGTTAACCCAAACGTGCCCCGGAACGTTCGGATCCGCTATCGGGGAATTGCCGCCAAGCTATAGGCGACGTACCGTCCACCCGCATAGCAAGGATGAAAGACTTTCCGAGGTTACCCATGCGTCCTTTCCCGTCGGCCCATTCTTAGCCGCTTTTGCTGGCCGCGCGCCGCTCGCAAAGTGTGGACATGGCCTTCCAAGGCCCTTGCATCCTTACACTCCCAGGACGAACGTTGTTTTCCTCGCTGGCCCGGAACGACAGTTTGAAGTAAAGAGCAGACGCGTCTGAGATCACCACCGTTGAATCCCATGAAAGTCAGGCGGATCCATTTGTGGTTTTGGTTATTGTTTCGGTGGATCCGATTTCCGTCCGCGCGGAATCGATGCCGGATTTTCTGGATCCGTTGCCTGCCTTATTTTTCACGGCGGATCCGATTTCTACCCCATTTGTAAAGTTGCATTATAAAGTTTAAGCGGAGAACCGGACGACATCGGATCCGCGGACCCCAGAACCCGCCCGTGTTAAGATTCTTCGGGGGCAGGGGGTTCGGTCACACCCATCAATTTTCTGCGCGCGGGAGCCCCACTCAACATGAATGCGTCTCTCTCCTCCTGGACGAGCTGCACGCAGCTCGTCCAGACGCCGTCCGGTCGGCGGCGCCGATGTGACTTGTCAAACTCATCATCGCCTTTTTCACCTCAAGAGGGAAATCTCTCGTCTTGCGTAAAGGGTGTCGGCCCTGCGTCTCCTGACCCACGGATTGCCTGCGAGATGTGGTGTGTCGGCTATGTGGTAACCAACAAGTCCGAAGGCAAACACGCTCATGCGTTTCGGCCCTGCGTTTCCTGACCCAACGGACTTCCTGTGAGATGTAGTGTGTCGGCTATGAGGTAACCAACAAGTCCGAAGGCCAAACCGCCCATGCGTTTCGGCCCTGCGTCTCCTGACCCAGCGGACTGCCTGTAAGATGTAGTGTGTCGGCTATGTGGTGACCTACAAGTCCGAAGGCCAACATGCCCATGCGTTTCGGCCCTGCGTCTCCTAACCCAACGGACTGTTTTTGAGATGTGGTGTGTCGGCTATGTGGTATATAAACAACAAGTCCGAAGGCCAAAATGCCCATGCGTTTTTGCCCTGCGTCTCCTGACCCAGCGGACTGCCTGTTAGATGTGGTGTGTCGGCGATGTGGTAAGCAGCAAGTCCGAAGGCCAACACGCCCATGCGTTTCGGCCCTGCGTCTCCTTACCCAACGGATTCCCTGGGAGATGTGGTGTGTCGGCTAAGTGGTAACCAACAAGTCCGAATGTCAAGACGCCCATCCCCAGGACGAACGTTGTTTCTTCTTGGGCCCGGATCGATGGTTTGAAGTCGTGAGCCGATGCGTATGATATTACCGCCGTCTCCCATGAAAGTCAAGCGGATCCAGTTGTGGTTTTGGTTATTGTTTCGGTGGATCCGACTTCCGTCCGCGCGGATCCGATATCGGATTTTCTGGATCCGTTGC